TCTGTTGATATATGCTACATCAGTTGGTGTTCAGCTATTGATCTAACCTTGTATTCTTGGGATAGACCCCATGCCTTTGATTTCTTTGTACATTGCTGGGTTTGGTTTGCTAGCATTTTGAGGGTTTTTGCACCCATATCACAAGATATTCTACAGTTTTCTTGTGCTACTGGTATCAGGGTAATACTAATCTCATATAATTAGTTTGGTGGTGTTCCGGTCTTTTTGTTTGTTTGTTTGTTTGTTTGACATAGGGTGTCACTGTGTAGTTTAGGTGTCCTTGAACTGACAGTATAGCCCAGGTTGTCCTCAAACTTCTAGTGAGCCTCCTGCCTCAGCCTCCCTTGTCCTGGAATTACAAGTGTGTGCCACCATATCTGGCCATATTTTTTAGAAGACTTTGTGGAAGATTAGTATTAATTCTGTAAATGGTTGATAGACTTAAGTGGTAAAGTTATTTGGATCTGGACTTTCTTTGTCAGGTATTAGTTTACATTCTTTTTTTTTTTCTTTTCCTTTTGTGTTCTTGACAAGGTTTTGCTATGCAGTTCAGGCAGGCCTCGAAGTCACTTTGTAGCCCAGCTTGGCTGAACTTGCAGTGATCCTCCTGCTTCAGTCTTCTGAGTGCTGGGATTACAGGACAAGTGCCACCACGCTTGACTCTTTAATTCTTATTTAAAATATTGTATTCTTTTTATAGATAAGAAAACTCATTAAGGTTAAGTAATATGTAACAAGTGACAGCTAGGATTTTAATGCAGATTATTTTATGCTAATTACTAGGAAAATAGTAATGCATATTTATTGAATGATTAGTTATGTGATTTAATTATAATTATATTGAATGCTGTAACTGTCTAACTTCATGTTACTATCCCAAACCAAGTGCTTACCTTTTTTTTTTTTTTTTTATTTTTTTTTTTTTTTTTGTTGTTGTTCCTCGAATGCCTTCGGGGCACTTTTGGCCAGCTGGAGAGTTGTGAGGTTCGAACTCCAGCAACCTGAGGCTGACAGCTTTGTGGAAGCAGCCACTTAAAGGACTGAGCTGGGGCCAGGCCCCCCCCAAGTGCTTACTTAATGATCACTTAAACTATATATGCATTGTACCTACTTTCAGATAGAGAATATGATATAGATTCAGTAACTTGCCCAAGTGAACTATGGCTGAGAAGTAAATGTGCAGCTGTACTTTTCACTCATGTGCTGAATCTGCAGCTTGGGCTCCTAATTGCTGCTCTCCATTGTGTGCCTTCTGAAGCTGAAGGGCCTGAGGTAGTCTGCCCAGCAGAAGCGGCAGTGCTGTATGTGGACATTTGAGCTCAGGTCAAGTTTGACCTTGGGTGTGAATGGGCTCACATGGCCCTTCAAATTCTATTGCAAGATGCCCGGTCCTGCATAGCACAGTGGAAGACCCGGCTTTTCCCCTCACTGTGCTCTGCAGCTAACACTTTACTCAATGATTGTAGAAAACCCAAAACCAACCTCCCCTAAACCAAAAACCACCAAAACACCTCTATGTTTTTCTGTTAGATGTAGTTAGAATGAAAAGAAGTAATTATGCATAATGTGAGTATAACCTTTTAAGGTATTTTAGTTAAGCCAACCAGCAGAATTGTATATCTTTCAAAGGAGACAAAGTACAGATTTGTTTTAACCTTTGTATTTTTGACTGGTAGGTGGTATATAGCTTACTGGAATAAACAGGAAAATGCCTCTGTTTTTCAAGTTAGAGGCTTTCCTGTATTGTCCATTCAGGTTGAAAAATAAGACAGGGATGGTGGTGCATGCCTGTAATCCCAGCACTGTGGGAAGCTGAGGAGAATCACAAGTTTTACCACAATCTGGGTAATTTAGCAAATTAGCAAGACCCTGTCTCAAGATACAAAATAAGGGATGAGATATAGCTTAGTCTGAAGCACAGGGTTTAATCCTCAATACCAAGAAAAGAAGGGTGGGAAGTGAGGGAGAAGGGAGAAAAATAAGAATTTTAGGGGATAGGGAGATGGCTCATAGAATGAGAGCTTGCCTAGCAAGCACAAGGGCCTGAATTCAAGCCCTGGTTCCGCAAAAAAAAAAGAATTATGAGCTTTAAAAGCCAAGGTGATACCTGTGTTGGGGGGGGGGAGCATTGAGTGGTGGAGCTCATCAAGTACAGTGAAGTCTGATCTCTGCAGGATACAGTGGGTAGGATTTTGGTATTGTGACCCCCAGGTGGGAGCAGCAGGGTGCTGGAGGCTCCCGTGTAAGAAGCTGATTGTCAGTGTGGCAGTCTGGTCACTCCTGACTTCTGCTGGAAAGAATACAGGCCAGTGCCCTGGTTATGCAGCCCTGGGAGGAGGAAAGTCTGTAAGTCTGGTTGGACTTAATGCAGGCCTTCAGTCCATTTTGTCTGTACCCTTCTCTCCTATATCTCTTTAACTACACAGACTTTCTCTTCTGAGTGCTCTGGGGATTCATAGTGGGCTTGGTGTTCTTAAGTGCTTCTGAGATGCTTACCCAAGTGGAAGAAACTCACATGGTCAGTTACACGTGCATCACAGCTTTCTGTCTTGGAAGATTTCGCAGTCGTGTTTGCCTCATTGCAGGCTCCATTCCCATTTTCTTGTCTGTTGATATTTGTATTTGCTTTTGTTCCTTTACTGTTATTTTGCTAGAATTTCAGGGGAGGAATGTTGATAAATAGCATTTGTATTTCTTTTGTAAATTACTTCTTCATGTAATTTACTTATTCTTTAGTTATATGAATTTTTAAGAACTTTATATATGAAATTTCTTTTAGGTATGCATGATTTTTTTTTTTAAATAGTACTGGAATCCAGGGCCTTTACTTTTTTTTTTTTTTTTGTGATAGGATCTTTTTTAATATCACTTAAGTTGTCAGGCTGGGCTTCACCATGTAATCTCCCTGCGTTAGCTTCTGAGAGTACTAACATAGGTAGATGCCACCTTACTCAATTGAAGGATGTTGACTCTTTGATATGACACAGTATTTTTTTCTTTTTGTTAGCTTACCTACTTTTTTGAAATTAGATCTTAAGTATGTTGCCCAGATTGGTCTTGAGCTCTTGAGTTCAAGTGATTCCCCTGTCACCCTTTCAAGTAGCTAGGAATATAGGCCTGCACTAGTGTACCTGGCTGTTAACTTATTTTTGAAACATTTGTGGAAGATGCAGGTAAGGAGTCTAGCTTCTGTATAGAATGGTTGTGGAGAGATAAATCCTGAGATCAGCTGGCTGTATACCTTGGCTTTCCTTTTGGCTTTTGCTATCTCATGGAAGCTGTCTTATCTACGTGCTTGATAAGAGTTCACTCTGTGTCACAAATGAAGGACCTGGCTAAGTGTAAGCATATAATTTGCCATCTCCTTTACTAAGTATTCAGTATTTATGGTCCTGTAGTCAGCTGGAAAGTTCTGGCAACAGCTGTGCTGAGAAACACGGGTACTCAGTTGCCTGCCAAGGAGTCTGTTGCTTTAGCCCAGCCGCATGCCCCAGCTTTGGAGAGAGGCCACTTTTGCACATGCCTTGGAAGGGTAGAAGGAAGCACTGGCAAAAATAAATTTTCTCTGCATTTAGCAGTGGGCTCGTGGGCTCAGGGCCATGAAGAAGGAAATTAGAGGGAAGGAATTAGCAGTAGCCCACCATGTGTCCCAAATGGCACAGGTGGACAGGTGTTAGCTCTCTTCTCTACATGGAGATCTGATTTTCAGCTGCGTTGTTGAGGTTTGGTCATGTTCCAGTTCCACTTAGGTTTTGCCTAAGCTCCTTCTCTCCTTCCTAATCAATTTGAACAGAATATCCTACAGTAACAGATAGGAAAATTGCATCAGATACAGTGTAGGAAGCCTTAGTCAGGTGGAGCCTGGTGCTCCTAAAGCTCAAAGCTTTCAGTGCACATGTCTGTTGGGAAGTATAGTGGAATTTGGAGTCAGAAGTGGCTGTGAGGAAACATAGAAACCTAGCTAGCTCTCTGCCACCCACACTGCCCCTCGGATTTCCTCATTAACTTGAAGTGGTTGTGCTTGATCACTCTGAAGAGAAAACCCGTCCTAGTTTCATTTCACCTCCAGAATAGTCCTTGGATTTTTCCTTTCCTCTGTCCAGTTGCCATGTCATTCCAGGCCTGCTTTCCTGTCACACTTCCTGGCCCATACCTGGCTTTTAGCTTCTTCCTGTCTAATCCCTCTAATATGCTGCTGCCTGACTTACTGTCATCATGAGGAGAGCTTTGATCACTTTATTCCTCTTACTCATTTAAATACCTCTCCTTTTTCTAAGTCTTGGCTCTTGATCCATTCTATGGCCTTGGGCTGGTTTTTCCTGTTTTTATCCATGTGCCATTTAGCACTAGGAAGTCTGGTACTGAGGTGCCCTGATAATTATGCCTGTCTTAAAAGGAGGTTAGAAGATTCTTGAAGACAGAGTGGCTTTTTTTCTCTTGCATTTCCTGCTGTGCATAGTCAGTCTTGTGGAAACATTGGGGAGCAGGCATAGTTCTCACATAGCAGAGTGCTGAATTTGGGGGAAAATGTTTAAAAAGTGAAAAATTACCTTGGCAGGCCAAAGAGAGAGCCACAAAATTATAACTTGTTCATGGACTTTTTTCAGCTTCACATGTATCATAATTTCACTTTGGAGTTTTCTTATCTTTGAAAGGAAAAGGAGTTGAATGAATTATCTGTCAGTTTCTACCCAACCCAAAAAAGCTAATTTTCCTTCATTCTTTGCTTTACTTTTTTTTCTGAAATTAAAATTGTTGAGCTGTTTTTGGATGTTGAGTTAGAGATTTTTCATTTTGTTGTAATTTTTTCCCTGACGCATTTACAGTTTTCTTTGGGTCTGTGCCCCTAAAAGAAATTTGGATTTGCATTTTGGCGGCTACTTAAAAGAGTAGACAAATGCCATGCTGTTCTGCTTTTTTGACTTGAGTTCTTTATTTGGACAAGTAAAACTGTCAGTTAGGTACATAATTCTAATGTAATTCTTGCTCCTCTTCTATAGACACAATGCGGCGAGTGGTACGACAGAGCAAGTTTCGGCATGTATTTGGACAAGCAGTGAAAAATGACCAGTGCTATGATGACATCCGGGTTTCTCGTGTGACCTGGGATAGTTCCTTTTGTGCTGTCAATCCCAGATTTGTTGCCATAATTATAGAAGCAAGTGGAGGTGGAGCCTTCCTTGTACTTCCTCTGCACAAGGTGAGTTAATTGGAGCTCCTGTTCTGTGTGACATCCTTTTGGGAATCTCCATATTTTTTGGCTAATAAGTTGACAGATTTCTATAAATTGTATGTTTATAGAGATTATTAGGCTGATAAAATTGAAGTTAAATTCCCATATGCTCTCCTAACCACATCAGCTTTTCTTTAACAGGATCTGGAAAGAGTGGTGACCTCTGTCATGGGTGTGTCCTTGTGGATTTTTTTAAAAAACCTTTTTAAAATATATTTATTTTGTCTTTTTTTTAAATTTTATTTATTTACTTATTATTTTTTAATTTATTATTATTTTTACATTCATTTATTGTGTGTGTGTGTGTGTGTGTGTGTGTGGCCAGCTCAGCCCATCAGGGGGCGGGGCTGGCTGGCATGTGGTGCTGGGGGATTGAACCGCGGTCCCTGTGCTTTGCCAAGCTTATTCCAAGTAGGTGCTTTAGACCACTGAGCCATCTCTCCAGCCCTATTTTGTCTTTTTGAGAACAGGGTCTTAGTATGAAGTTCAGGCTGGCCTTGAGCTCACTTTGTAGCCCAAGCTGGTCTCATACTTGTGACAATCCTCCTACCTCAACCTCTCAAGTGTTCTGTTAGTGTATTTTTGCAATAATAATAATTACATTTATTTCAGGGAGTTGGTATATAGACATACTGCGTTTTAATCAGTTTTACTTCCCCTTCCCATCCTTACCTTCAGAAAAGATTACAATGAAATGTGAACATAGATAGGTGTAGGAGTTACATGATTTGGTTTGTAATCATCCTGTCACAAAAGATTTTTTGTTTTGGTACCAGGGATTGAACTCAGGCCCTTGCACTTGCCAGGCAAGCGCTTATCCTACTGAGCCATCTCCCCAGCCCAGAAAATAAGTTTGTGATCCCTGAGCTCTTATGATGAGGGGTGAGTGCTAGTGATGATACAGATACTAATCACATTACAGCTGTTTCCACTCTGCTTAAAAACAGTGGGGGAAGCAGACCCGAATGCATATTAGGGATGCATTTTCTTGTAATGGGCTTCAAGATTCTGAAAGTGACCCATAAGGTGGATTTTCTGTCAGAATAGTGTTACTTATTATATTTCCCCCTCAGGAAAACTTCCAGTTCCCTTGTAATTTTCTGTCAGAGCTGCTCTTGCAGATCTTACTTTAATATCTTGAGTTTTACTTTAGTGTCTGGGTTAAGATGATACTACACCAAAGAAACCTGTTTCTCTAGAAGTAGACACATGCATGCTTTTTTGTCTTCTTGAGACAAAGTCTCATTGTATAGTTCAAGCAGTCCTTGATCTAAATATGTGACCCAAGCTGGCCTCAAACTTGTGGCAATACTCCTGCTTCAGCTCCCAAGTGCTGGGATTACAGGCATGTACCACCGTGCCTGGTTGAAGTGGATGCCTTTGTAAAACAAATTTGATTCATGTTTCTAAATGTACTTTCTTATTGGTGAAGGAAATTTTTTTTTTTTTTTTTTTGAAACTGGGGATTGAACTCAAGCCCTTGCCTCAAGCCAGGGAAACGCTTATTCTACTGAGCTATCTCCCCGGCCCCGGTGAAGGAAAATATTTTTGTAAAATTGAAAATTTCTTCAGTGATACTAAATAATGCTGAACAATGAGAATAATTAAACATTTCTACTTTTATTTCTATGCAGAAAATTTCTGTTGAATGGCAAACAACACACTACACTGTGTATACTTAACCTGAGTTTGGGGTGGGAGTTTGAACTAAACATCAGTTGCATTTGGCTCTCCAGCCTTTTAGTTTATTCCTTCATTAATAATAAGCAGCATTTAGAAGTCTGACTGTCTGTTATAGAATGGCCAGCTAAGAAGACTGCCACAGTTTGTCAGCTGAGGTCAGGCGCTGGAGCATCGTGATCTGTTCTGGAGTTAAGAGGTTTTATTTCCCCTTTTATAAACTAAGGGATAATTTAAGACATTCTTTTCTTCAAAGAAATGGAACACACCAATTAAGAAGCCCAAAATAAACCTTGAGTGGCTGATTTTCTACTGAGTTCACACAGTTCCCTTCAACTTCTACATCCACAAAAGGTTCTATGAACCCATCTTTAAGTTTTACAAACAGCAGGAAATTTGAGTTTTATGTAACCATTCAAAGGAGACTCTATGCAGTTCCTAAGTGGACTCTTAAGACTTGGGTTTCACCTTCATTAAATGGCTTACATTTCTTAAGTGTTAGTTTTAGTATTATTTTGTTCTTTAGCTAGCCTTAGAGAAATTAAAATAAGTCATTTGAAAAATTATCATTAGTAAGTAAGATAGGCACGATGACACACACCTGTAGTCCAGTCTGAGGTATAGAGTGTCCCTGAGTTCAATGTCCAGTGCTGGGGTGGGGGTGGGGAATTAGCATATTTTGGATTTTATTATTGGCCTTTGGGGGAGTCTTCCTTTTTTTGCGGAACCAGGGGTTGAACTCAGGCCCTTGAGCTTGCCAGGCAAGCACTTATTCTCTACTGAGCTATCTCCCTGGACCCTCCCTCCTCCTTTTTTTGTGCTTTTTTTGTAGTATTTTAGGAAAGGGTCTACAGGGTGGGTGTTCAGGGTCTCACTACTAGATCAGACTCCTGATCTGCCTGTTTATAGCCTCCCAAGAACTGGGATTACAGGCACAAGCCGCCAAGCACAGTCTTAATTGCTGGTCTCAGCATGCCCCAGGGGTAGGGCCTTGCAGGCCTGAGGATCAAACCCTGGCCCCTGGGCCTGCCTGCAGGCACTTTAATCCACTGAGCTATTTGGCCGGCCCCCACTCCATTTTTTTTGAGACAGGATTTTACTGTAAAGTTCAGGCTGGCCTTGAACTCACTTTGTAGCCCAGGCTGGCCTCAAATTCATGGCAGTCCTCCTGTCTTAGCCTCCTGAGTGCTGGATTTACATGTGTGTACCACCATACCTAGCTGTGTCACACCTTTTGCTCTTCTATTTTTCTCTCTGCAACGTGGACTGTCTATAAATGTGATTTTTTTGCCTTGATAATTTTAGATTGTCTCCTTTCATTCCCAGTTATAAAATGATTTCTGATGGCAGCTGATTTGGTACGTCAAAATTCAGCAAGCAGAACACTTGTTCCATTATTTTCTCATTTTGTATAACATAGCTTTGTAAAATGGATGCTTTTTTTGTTTGTTTGTTTTTTTAACTTTGGCTCATTTTCCACCAAAGTCAAGGCTAAGCTCCATAAAAAGGAATGGTCTTGTCATCCTTCTAGACAGTTCTGTGCTCTGGAGCTCTCAGAGTGATCTAGTGTGGTGGCAAGGCCTGGCTGTGAGCCCGAGGGTGTCAGGTGATGCTGCCTTTCCTCCTCTTAAGATGCTGGCTTGTTATGGGGGCATCAGTAACTGTAGAAAATAGATCTTCCATATTTTCAGGAAACCTACATTTCTGTGTACTTTATGAGGCAACTCAGATATCTTATTATTACCTACCTTGTAAATATTTGGTATGATCATAAGTATTTGAGTAAGGATTTTTTTTTTTTTTTTGGAACTGGGGATTGAACTCTGGCCCCAATTTTGCATTTTTTACAGGTGATACTTGCTTGTTTATATAAGTGTTCTTTGACCATCACATGTGGTGAATTTGCTCGAACATCTATAAGCTGAGTGCCTGGTGTGTGCCTGGTGTGTCCTCCCTCTGCAGCACTTGCCTCTAGTTTTTGTTGTGGTCATTTTCCTAATCTGCGCAAGACTGTCTCAGCCAAATGGCTGGTGCTTAGGTATTTCTGTTCTCTTTGAAGTGTATGTAGCTTTGCAGGAGAAATATGATGGGGTTCCCAGGTGCATGGTGAATCCATAAATCCTAATGTAGGTCTCTCTGCCCTGAAAAATAGATTCTGCTGGGCATAATAGCTGTTATGGTTTGTGTATTGCTGTCCTCCCCCCACCCCCCAAGCCTCCTAGAGTCTTGGGGTGGCTTCTGAAGTTTGTGATTGATTATTTTGGGTGTGGATGCTGCACCTGCCCTGGGGCAGGTAATTTGCATCACAATGCAAGCAGGGTAGAGAGATTAGCTGCTTGGGCTGCTGCTACTCCTCCTTTTGCTCTTGCTCTTTGCCACGGCCATGAAAGGTTGTTTTCTGCGGTGTGCTGCTCTGCTTTGGACCCAGCTGAATATGGACAGAAACCTCCAGTAACTGTGAGCAAAATAAACCTTTCCTTCCTTCAATTTCGATGTCGGGTATTTGTCCCAGCAATGAGAGAAGAGTAACTAAAACAATAGCACATGCCTAAAATCCCTGCACTCAGGAGGCTGAGGCAGGAGGATCACTGTGAGTTTGAGATCAGCCTGGCCTACACAGTGAAACCTCATGCCAAAAAGACAAAAAAAAAAAAAAAAGGAAAGAAATAAAGAAAATAGAACCCTACAACTTCAATCTCTTGGCAACTATGAAATAGTTTTATAACAAGGTGGTGCTTTTGTTTAAAAGCAAATAAAAAATCTTCAAAAGTAATATGAAGTTATATTTGAAATCGAGATAACAAGACATTTTGTGCTACATTGGTAGTCTAGGATTATGCTCCTAAGCATGAACATTGAGAACAGGGTATAGTTTTAATAGCTACTTGAGAAGCATCTGCTAATGCTTCCTCTGTTTCTGGTTATAGGCAGACAGATGGCTTAGGTGATGTTTTGGGGGCTGTGTACACAATAATGTTGAATATATACATATTTATCTTAAGATGGATCATGACCCTTTCTTGGTTATTTAAAAACATAGCTTTCTATGAATTTTTCTTGAAAACTGGTTAGTTTCAGTAGTAAATAGGGCTTATTACTGTAATCTTATGAAGCTTGTGGTTAGATTCTGGAAGAGTGTAAAATAGGGTATACCAGGTTTTAAAATCTAGAATAGGGACAAATACCTTAATGCATGTGTGTCTGTTCACATGTAAGTACCTGCACATCTACAGCAAGAAGGATACTGATGAATGAGGGTATATTTTAAGCATATGGTCTGTGAGGTT